CCAGAGACCCAGATGCCCATGACTCCAAGAGAAGGTAACAAGACCTCCTGCAACCTGGAGTTTTCCAATGTTGTTTCCAATGACACTGAAGGAAGTCCTATTGAGTTGTCAATTTATGGATCATAAAAAATTATTTTTGATGGATAATATATTACCATCTGATTTTTGACATATAGTCAGGAAAAGGTCAAAGAACTGAATGACATTGCTAGATACTAAAAAAAACACAGAACTCCTACTCCCATCTGTCTATTAATATGAGCAAGGCTTCCTAATCCTTGAATCTATTAAAAAAAAGAACTGTTACTGAAAATCCTGTCTCATTCTAGCAATGTGTGATATTCATTCTCAGATATCTCAGCCAAAGTGAAAAAAATCCTTTTTATGAATAACATTTTAGCTTTTATGTTATACTTTCATAAATTCTGTAACGCTTGTTATTTTGATCACTCATGGAAGAATAACTTAAAACTTTTAGTACTAAAGTCTTATGGCCATAAAATATAAATTTTTAAATTTTAATTTAAATATGTATTTTTGTGATAGTGAAGTACGATAAGGTAATCAAAAAACCTTCAAAGATGAAAAAAATTAGGTTAGGGTAATATTCTGTAGTAAATATGGAATGGAAATAGGAGTTAAAGGAGCAAACTAGAACTATAAGTTTTTCAACTCTTATATTCAAGTCTCTATGGAATTCGGTTGCACTGAATATACCTTTCTGAATGATACAACATTTTCACTTTAATAACTTGGTATTTATAATATAACGGACCTTCTTCACCCTCTTATAATAATCTAACGCTAATATTCTATGACTCCAAGACGTTTAGCAGACGTGGTCTCAGGTGCAGGCGCCTACTCAAATTTTGTGCCTGGATGCCTCGCTTGCCTCACCCTGGTGCTGGCCCTGGTTTCCAAGTCACTAAGCATGGACACCCATGACCTAGCCTCTGGGTGAGTCCTGCTGACAAATCCTAAAGGGATGGGAGAGAAGAGGAGAAAGAAAACAGGGGAAACAGAAGACAATGGGATTATGAGGCTAGAGTCCTTTAACAAAAGGACAATGGGAGTAAGGAAGTAAGGAACAAAGAATTCAAACTACTAACCAACATCAAGTATTAATTCTGAGATGGGAATCTGTTTGGTAAATGCTTCAATCACAGAGAGATTTAGGATTTATTCCATTTATGTAAATTATTCATTTCATGTAGTATAACCCAACATTTGGTAACATAATCCTGTCCAAAACAGACTGGGAGAAAAGAGGGTGTCATTCATTTGGGAAATCTAAGTCTCTATATTTGTTTTAGAAAAAAGCGAGGTCAAACGTGTACGTATGTGGCAGTGGAGGATGGAGCAAGGTGAGCCCGGCTGCAGAAGGTGCCGCAGGGCACCGAAGCCAGGATGACAAACGCCTGAAGACACTGACTTTCCTACCTGAGAAAGATGAAGTTATATCTTGCCCATACATGGCAGGTAAGCACCTATCATGTGTTCTTAAAAGCCATGTCTTAAGGGATTAATGGTACTATGCCATAAAACTGTACCATCATAAATGAGGGGCACTGATTTCTGAAAAAGCTGGCACCAGACCCCAGTTGAGCGTAGAACTGGGATGTTTCCAGCAGCATGCCCACCCTCCTCACTCTGATCTCATAGGCTCCTCAAGTCGACAGAGACATCATGAAAAGCTACGGTTCAATATCAGGTTTCCTCTGCTACTTTTAAGACTTATTATTACAAAATTAAGAAACTGGGAATGTGAAACTATGGGAAAAGCCAGCTGAAGGGTATGTCCATGGCTTCTGTAACTGAGATTTACCCACATAGAAAGGACCTGGAGTGAAGTATTTGTATTATTATTATTTTTTTTTTGCGGTACGCGGGCCTCTCACTGTTGTGGCCTCTCCCGTTGCGGAGCACAGGCTCCGGACGCGCAGGCTCAGCGGCCATGGCTCACGGGCCCAGCCGCTCTGCAGCATGTGGGATCTTACCGGACCGGGGCACGAACCTGTGTCCCGTGCATTGGCAGGTGGATTCTTAACCACTGTGCCACCAGGGAAGTCCCTATTGGCCATTTTTATTTCTTCATTTGTGAATTATCTCAGTACTTTGCTCATTTATCTATTATCCACAATACGACTAGTTATTTTATTACAAAAGTAACTAAAAAGTAATGAAGACATTGTAAAATAGATTAGAACATTTGAATATTTATAGTGTTTTATAACATGCTGTTTAAATAACTCAATCCAATACATTGAGAATATCTTTCTATGTCAACCAGTGTATATCTAAGCCATCATTTTTTTTTTACTTTTTTTTTTTTTTTCGGTTCGCGGGCCTCTCACTTTTGTGGCCTCTCCCGTTGCGGAGCACAGGCTCCGGACGCGCAGGCTCAGCGGCCATGGCTCACGGGCCCAGCCGCTC